AAAAAGGTCGAGAAGGGAGAGGGTTGACATGTTGTGGGGTTGTTAACCAATGTCATAAAACAATATGTGTACTACTGTTTCATGAGAAACTATTTGTTCTATAAGCCTTCACCTGAAGTACAATAAAAAAAATATATATTTATTATAGTGTGGGTTTCAGAAACTTCCAGATTTATTCTGTTTGCTTCTTAAATCCAAAAGTGTTTAAAGTGGTTCCCAATTTGAAAAGGATATCCAGATTAAGCTACTGTGACAATCAATTATTTCTATATTGTCACTACTTTGAGTATTTTTAAAACTGTAATTTCTCCTTTATCTAGTGTTATTAGAATAAGGTATTATACAATGATTTTTTTAGATACTAGAAACTTAACATTTTAACTATCCAGTTTTATTTCATGTTAAATATTTGTGAATTAAAAAATATATTCAGAGTACATTTTATACTTCGTCTGAGTTGACAGCACAATGAATATAATTTACCTATTTCTCATTTAATTAAAGTGTATTAAAACAAATAACATGAATGCTAATAACAGTGTTAGAATCTGTGCAAAACCCCAACACTAAGGAGATGGGCCCCTGGCCCTCAGTTGCTACCTTAAAAATGCGTCCTAGGTATTTTGTTGTTGTTGCTCTTTGATTTATTGTGCTAAGTATATATGTGTGAATGTATGTATATATACACATACACACATATATGGAGAGAGACTTGAAATGTTAACTGATTATTTCAGATGGTGAGATTACTGGTGATTTTAATTTCTTTTATTTTCCTAATACATGATTTCAGAAGTTTCTATAATGTCCATATACTACTTTCATTATAAGAAAAATATATTAAAAGTTTTTATTTAAAAAAAAAAAAGAATAATATTGGCTAAAATTTTGCTAGAGATTTTGTAGCTACAGCACCTAGCTGAGAACAGCATTGACTGTTATGCATGCTATTTATTAAAGTGCCAGATGGTGTGAATATGATGTCATTTAAAAAAATGATTCACCTCAATGAACCCAACATCAAAAGACTGAATACCAGCCATACAATTATACTTGTCTCTTACTGAGGTACTCACTGTTGTGCATTAGTCATATCACTTTTGATCAAAATGTTGCAAGAAATTAAGGCTGTAGAAACTCTGTGAATGGAAACCCTTCTCAAAAAACATGTCATTTCTTTTGTGTTCTAGAAGAGGTGCTCTGAATATTGAATAATCTTCTCCATTGCAAATTCTTTAAAAACTGAATTATAATCTCTCTTAAAAGTAGTTCAAGTGTTTTAGAAATGCATTTTCAAATGAAAAGTAATTTTTCTTTATTAACTTCATTTAGTGGCATCTAATGGTAACTTTGCTGACCATCCTAACAGTTTTAGAACCAAGTGCCTTAATCTGCTTCCATGGACTCAATAATATCTTTCTGCCAGAGATTAAATTATAGTGCTTAGATTTGATCCTTAAATTGGCTGGTGGTTTAGTGATAAAGTTGTATGTTGTTATGATATAAACCTGGTCTCAATGGTTAAGCACTTGGCTGTTAACCAAAAGGTTGGCAGTTCAAACCTACCCAGCTGCTCTGTGGAGATCTTCCCTGTAAAGACTGCTGTTGTTGTTAGGTGCTGTTGAATCGGTTTTGACTCATAGCAACCCTATGTACAACAGAAAAAAAAACTGCCTGGTCCTGTGCCATCCTCACAATTGCTGTTATGCTTGACCCCACTGTTGCAGCCACCATGTCAATCTGTCTTGTCAAAGGTCTTCTTCTCTTTCACTGACCCTCTACCAAGCATGATGTCCTTCTCCAGGGCCTGATCCTTCCTGATAACATGTCCAAAGTAGGTGAGATGAAGTCTTGCCATCCTCGCTTCTAAGGGGCATTCTGGCTGTACTTCTTACAAGACAGATTTGTTCATTTTTCTGACAGTCCATGGTATATTTAATATTCTTCACCAATACCACAATTCAAATGCATCAATTCTGCTTCAGTCTTCCTTAATCATTGTCCAGCTTTCACATGCATATGAGGTGACTAAAATATCAAGGCTTAGGTCAGGCACACCTTAGTCCTTGAAGTGACATCTTTGCTTTTGAACACTTTAAAGAGGTCTTTTGCAACGTATTTGCCCAATGCAATAAATCGTTTGAGTTCCTGACTGCTATTTCCATGGGCGTTGATTGTGGATTCAAGTAAAATGAAATCCTTGACAACTTTAATATTTTCTCCATTGATCATGATGTTGCTTACTGGTTCAGTTGTGAGGATGTTTGTTTTCTTTATGCTGAGGTGTAATCACTACTGAAGGCTGTAGTCTTTGATCTTCATCAGTCAGTGCTTCAAGTCCTCTTCGCTTGCAGCAAGCATCTGCATATCACAGGTTGTTAATAAGTCTTCCTCCAATCTTGTTACCATGTTCTTCTTCATGTAGTCCAGCTTTTAGGATTAACTGCTCAGCATATAGAGTGAACAAGTACAGTGAAAAGATACACCCTTGACATACACCTTTCCTGATTTTAAATCACATAGTATCCTCTTCTGGAGCCCTGGTGGTACAGTGGTTAAAGTGATCTACGACTAATTGAAAGGTCAGCGGTTCGAAACCACCAACGGCTCTGCAGGAGAATAATGTGGCAGTCTGCTTCCGCAGAGATTTACAGCCTTGGAAACGCTATGGAGTCACTATGAGTCAGAATTGACTCAATAGCAGTGGGTTGGGTTTTGGGGTATCCCCTTGTTCTGTTCGAACAACTGCCTCTTGGTCTATGTACAAGTTCCTCATGAGCACAATGAAGTGTTCTGGAATTTCCATCCTTCACAATGTTATTCACAATTTGTATGATCCACACAGCTGAATGCCTTTGCATAGTCAATAACAATGTAAACATCTTCCTGGTATTCTCGACTTTCAGCCAAGATCCATCTGACATCAGCAATGATACCCCTCATTCGTCTTCTTATGGATTTCTGGCAGTTCCCTGTCGATGTAAAGACTACAGCCTAGACAACTCTGTGGGGCAGTTCTACTCTGACACAGCGGGTCACTATGAGTCAAAATCAACTCAATGGCACGTAGCAACAACATCAGTTCGTTATCTGTGTTATCCATTTGTCAGCTTGTCATTTTTCCAGGAATGGATATCACTATATCTCTTTGAAACTTGGCAAGGTGTAGCAAGTGGACAAACACCAAGAGGTCAAGCAAGCTTCTTTAAGAGTTGTAATGATACTTATAGTTTATGATAAAATATTTCATTTAACTTGCATGTCTCATTTATATCATTGACAGGAGGAAGGACATTGTTGCCCATATCAAAATAATCACTTATCCCTCCCTGCTTTTTTTTTTTTTAACTGAAATGGGAACCACTGAGAGCAATGTCACTCATTATCATGCCAGAAATTATAGAATCAGCAGGGTAAGTTACCTCCAACCCCACACTACTAGGTAGTAACAAATTCGGGTGTTAGTGGCCTGGATGGGAGCTGAGAAGGAGGGAGTGACAGTAGGAAAAATTGACCATTTGTTAGTGCCAAAAGTGCTTTGACACTCATAGTCAGAGCAGCAAGGGCAAATATACATATAATGAATACATATCTGAAAAGACGTTTCTCTAAAGAAGATATATAAATGGCCAGTAAGTATAGTAATGATACAATAAGCATATATATATATATATAATCATTAAAAATCTGAAGGTTGTATGCCTGTATGTATGTGGTTATAGAATACGCAGAATTTTATCATATTTTAATACTTTTTGCATCATTTTCTTCACCTAGCAATATATCACGAGTATCATATTATCAAGCAATGCCATTTTTCATGTTAGCTTACTCTTGGTAGCTTGTTGTAGTTAGCTGCCATCGAGTCAGCTCTGACGCATAGCAATCCCATGTATAACAGAACAAAATGTTGACCGGTCCTGCACCATCCAGCTAACTCTTAGCAATTCTCAGCTACAGCAAAACAGTGATATGATGAAAGCAGAGTACTACTGGATTAATTTGGTAGTTGGGCCCAGTTAGAAGGCTGATGCAGAAATAATGGTATCGGTGCCGGAAATAGTGGGTGCTTGAAGAAAAAAGGAGAAGAATGGGAAAAAAAAAAAAAAAATCAAAGGGAAAAAAGAAAATCAGGAATTTAAAGACAGACAAAAAGACAAAAGAGAAGAATCAAGGATAATGCCAAGGTTTTTAGCCTGGGACATTAGAACTTTCTTTAGTCTAAAAATAAGGAAGAGAGAACATAACCCAAATCTATAAAATCATGAATGTTACTAACAGAGTAAATGTGGAATAACCTCACCAAATCCCCAAGACTCTAGAATGTGGCCCTTGAAGGTTAAAAGGAATACTTTTAGTCCAATTTTCATGTTCTCAGTCATATTACTAAGAAAGAAGTCAGGAAAACTGACAGACTCAAGGACCCTGAACAACCTTATAATGGGAAATGGAAATTGAATTGGGAAAGGAACAGAATACAGTCAACTTCCAAATCCTGATTCAGGAGTCTGAGTCAAGATATCTGAAAAGATTTAGGGTAAGTAACTTGAAATCTGCTTCTGAGCCTATAATTTAAGACTCCCCTAGACAAAAAGAGATTGGCACCTACTTACTACCTTTTAGAGCCCTGGTAGTGCAGTGGTTATGAGATCGGCTGCTAACCAAAAGGTCGGCAGCTCAAATCCACCAGCCGCTCCTTGGAAATCCTACAGGGCAGTTTTACTCTGTCCTACAGGGTCACTGTAAGATGACATTAACTCAGCGGCAACAGGTTTGGTTTTGGTTTACTACCTTTTAAAACTCTCACATAGTATCTATTTTTTTCTTGTTTTTAATTGTTAGGTTGTTTACTCGAAATGGAACTAAAGTTTCCTGAAGACTTCACTGAATATTTACTAAGAGAGAGACTAACAGTGAGATTTCTGTGTAGGGTGATGCCTAGAGACTCATCTTGGGCACACAGCCTACCACCAGATGGCCTGGATTGAATTTTGGCTCATTCCTTACCCTTCTCATGGGCAATGTACTTCATATTTTTGCATCTCACTTTATTCATTTGTAAATTGAGGATGATAATAATACTTATTCGCAGGGATCTGGTGAGAAATTATGAGTTCATATAATAAAGTGCTTAGACCAGTGGTAGGCTGGAGCGGGCTCCAACAGATTCCCTAAAGTCAACTGTGTACATACATCTCCTCCCAACTCCAGTTCAGTGACGTGTTAAACCAAAAACCAAACCCATTGATTCCAACTCACAGTGACCCTATAGGACAGAGTAGAACTGCCCCATAGGGTTTCCAAGGCTGGAAATCTTTATGGAAGCAGAGTGTCACATCTTTCTCCCATGGGGCGCCTGGTAGGTTTGAACCACTGACCTTAGGTTAGCAGCAAAGCGTTTTAACCACTGTGCCACCGAGCTCCTTAGGGACATGTCAGAAGCTCAAAATCAGCCACAGAAATCAGCAAACACTATGGTGTTCCCAGAAAGCTGGTTGTTAGTCATTTACCAGCACATCACTGACTTAGACCATAGTTTGAGCTCAAAAATGTTTACAGTTCTTACTACTAGTTTTCATGATGTGGTTATTATAGACATTATTAAATGGACCTAATATTCCTAGGAATTGATTGGTCTTCAGTCTTCTAGTAGAGACTTGTTAATATGAACACATGACTATTAAATTCAGAACATGAGACATTCTTTGAGATGATAGTAAAGACTCTCAAAAAAAAAAAAAAAAAAAAAAAACCCCTGTTACAAAAACAAAAAATGTGGAGGGACTATTCTAGATTCAAGTAGACTAAGGAAACATAATAACCAAATACAAAGCATGAAACTTGATTAGACTTTTGAGTTAAAAAATGGGGGTGGGGGGCATTTGATGAAATTTCAATATATTCTTAAATTAACTTTCCTTAGGTGTGATAATGATATTAAGATTATATAGCGGAATGCTCTTATTTTTAGAAGAGGTATGCTATCATGATGTCTAAAACTTACTTTAAAATGGTTCAGGAAAAGAAAAGCATATGAAAGAGATAAAACAAAAGTGGCAAATGCTAACACTTGATAAATCTAGGTGAAGAGTGTATGGGTGTTCATTTCAACTTTCCCGTAGATTTAAAATTTTTCAAAATAAAAAGTTAGGGGAAAATATACAGAATATAATAATAAGAAGAAAAAATTTAAATGGAGATAATAAAAACAAAACAACTAACTCATACTTGTCCGACTCTCAAAGAGACGTTAAGTCTTCATATAAGTAAACAAAATTCCAAGGTTAAATTTCAAAAAGTGACTCTACTTAAACACCCTTAGCAACAAAATGTTAGGACAGTCACAATAAAGTGTATTTGGTTTCTCACCAAAGACTAAGATGAGCTTACATTTCACTGGATTAAAAATAAACTCAGAAAGAACATGTACTCAACTATTTTATGGTAGGTAGCAAGCAGTTATCTCTACTTTTCTTTTTGATGGAAAGATTTTCCGGTCTAATTCTCACAGCAAAAAAGTCAGATTATATTTTTCATTATAAACTCACTCTAGAAAACCTAGCCATTCAGCGCTGCAGTCAAGGACTAGCTGCTCCCGGAGCTGATTCAGATGTCGGTAATTTTCTACAATAAAAGGAGAGTGAAAGCGGCTCACAGCTTTTGTGCTAGAAGAGAGAGAAAAACAGAAATAGGAAGTCAAGGTTACTAAGAAATCAGTAATGCCATCACTTCAGAAAATTGAAGTAGTTATTTATTATTCTCTGATGAACCTTGAAAATAAATACCTGTAAACAGACAGCATTCTTTAATTATGGTCCCGAATTCTATTGATTCTAAAGATCTTTGTTGTAAATAAAGTACTTGGAGTTCATATGACTTTGTTCAGGAAGCTTTCTAAATGCATTTCAAACAATATCCGTGTGGCAAAGTCAGAGTTTAGAATTTTTATTTCATAAGCAGGAAGTTTTTTTCTTTAAATTATACTAAATGAAAATGCCTTAAGAAAAGATCAGAAGAAAATATGGCAAAATAAAGTCTAACAAAACTGGGAGGTGGATACATTGGTGAAGTTCGTATTATTCTTTATATTTTATACTTTTCTTAATGACTGAAGTATTTCAATTAGAAAAAGAAAGATATAAAGTATTATAATGAAGAACAATGCATTAATTCAGGAGACAATCAAAGAGGAGGAAGTTCATCATAACCTAACTGGAGCTTCACAGTGGCCTTTGACAGGAAGAGATGCCACCTGCTTCTCTTCTGGGCTTGAGTATAATCTCGATTATCTTTTTCATCAAGAAGTCATAGAGGACAATGGGGAACATGTGGGTCCCCAGCCAGAAAATCTGGGCCAAGGCTCTGACTCTGTCACACTATTACTATTTAGATGACTTGGGACAAATAACTGACCTGCTCTAAACATTGCTTTCCTCATCTATCAAATGGGGATAATAACAGTATCAATGCTGTAGGTACTGTTGAAAGGATCAAGACCGACGGTGCTTAGACAGTGCTTAGCAGAGCACCTATGTTGGGAGTTGTTCTGTGGCAGTGGTTGTTACGGTTGCTGAAGTCATTATTATGATGAGGTCTTAAAGAAGAAAAGGTCAGTGTTGAATGATAGGCAGGTGATGACAGAGTGTACCCTGACCTTTGTTTGTACCCTCACTCCTTTAATATACTGTCACAATTGCCTTTAATATGTCAAGTCACTGGACTAGGGGGTGGGCCTTTCATGTTCAAGATCTGACTGATGAGGTTCTAACATATGCTTGTCAAGGTCCTGATAGCTAAACAACAGATAAAGAATCACAAGGAAGCTTCCCAAAACCATCTCATTTGTTCATTCAATTTTCATTATTGAATGTTAAAAAGATGTTAGCACTGCTTTATGTCTTGCTTGTTGCTTTTAAATTATGTCATCTAGATTACTATGCCAACGTATTTATCATAGCTTTCTCTTCTGGCAAAACTCATTTGGTGAGACATTTCAGTTATTGTTCTAGATCGACTAAAATGATTTTTAGTAATTTCTCTTCATAAAGCATATTTCCATTCATCAGCTGTAGTATAGGACAACAAGTAAATAAAGAAAAGAATGTCTTCAGAGAGAAAACAGTATCTCCTAAAATAGGTAATACTCAAATCTAAGGTATCTATATTTCTGGAAGCACAAGGGGGAAAAGGAATGGTATTAGAGCAAAATAAACCCATGCTTATGCCTTCAACACCTTTTGCTAGAGGCAATGGATAATAGTTCCCTTTTTAAATTAAAATAACAAATTAATAATCATTCACACATCATGTCAAGATTTTCCTTCATCCTTAACATGGAGTCCCTTAACACCTTCACCAGCTACTAGTCCTTCTTCTACGTTAGGCAAATGCTAACATTTTCACCTCATACTTATGAATAACAGTAGTAATACATATTCCACAAAGAGCACAACTCACAAGAGTGTATACTTCTCTCATATCCCTCTTGGGGATTAATGTTTAACCAAGGAGAAAAGGCAGAGTCTCAATCTGGTTCTCTAATTTTGTTTTTGATTAATTTAGTTTCATCAGTTCATGATATAACTTACAAAAAAGAAGATGTAAAAAACCATTATAACTACATGCCACGGAAAGCATTAATAGAGAAATCCAGAGCTCAGTGAGGTAGAAAATGAAATTTCAGCTTCTTAAAAGAAATGTCAGGCACAGTATTCATCAAGAAGTTCAAGCCACCAAATTTATCTTAGTAACTGAAGGTTCCTCAGCTTTTTTTTCCCATGTGCTTGCAGTGTACACTGAGCTATAAGAATAAAATGCTAACTTACAAAACAAATATATGAAAATAAAATACCCTTTTAAAATGTTTTAAAAACAATGATCTCTTTGGCTAAAAATTTCATAAGAAAATCAAAAGGGGAGAATAAACTGCTTTTAACTTCAAGAATGTGGCTATTATCAGCACAGTAGCACACAGGTATAGAGATGTCATTATAATTTGTTAATAAAAAAAATTTATTTTTAAACCTACCTTCCAACCTTAACCCAATCAGTTGGTATGCAAGATAGAGCAGAATTCTTTATTTCAATCATATACTAAAATAAATACAAATAAACAGTTAGATATTTCAATGATTAACTATTTGACTTTCTCATTTTCTCAAAAGTGTGTTATAATAGTTTAGTAAATATTACAAATTTGAAACATTCAAAAAATCCAGTATTGTTCTTGGGAGAGTTTATATATGTCTATACAGCCGGATATTATTAATTAGGATTTCAATACCTGGGACAAAGTACAATTTATAACGTGCAAAACATCTGTAATAAGGGATGTAATTTGGAGCTTTAATGTTTATAATATTGCTATATGCATAACATGGATGGTGATTTCTTCCTTAATGACCTCTTTCATTTATTAATATCCACTTATTTAAGAATTCTACTACTCAGGTAAGCAGTCACTAGGCAGCGCAAACGGTTAAGCACTCAACTACTAGCCAAAAGGCTGGCGGCTGGAACCCACCCAGAGGTGCACTGAAAGATAGGCCTAGAGATCTGCTTCTGAAAGGTCTTGGAAATCCTATGGAGCAGTTCTATTTGGCACACACGGGGTCACCATGAGTCAAAATCGACTCAATGGCAACTAACGACGACGACTTAGATAATAAGATTAAATTTCTAAATATATAAAATTTTAAATTATTCTATTAATAGATGTTACAACAGTTTGAGATTCGGTCCCTTCCCTATTCTGGATAGGAGACTGTAATAGTTTTCATTCAAGAAGCCTGAGTCCTCTAAATCTAGCCTCATAAAGAAAACATTCACTTCCCCAACTATTAAGAGAGGAAAATAACCCTTTGCCGCTGAATTGATTTTGACTCATAGTGACGATATAGGACACAGTAGAACTGCCCCATAGGATTTCCCAGGAGCGGCTGGTGGATCCAAACTGCTGACCTTTTGGTTAGGAGCCAGAACTCTTAACCAATGCACCGCCAAGGCTCCGAGAGGAAGACAGTTTTTCCTGTATGAGTGTTTTCTTTTATATGAACTATATATTTATAGATTCAATTTTGCTCTGCAAGCAAGCTTTTCTGAAGTCAGCCAGGAAGCAAATGAAGTTCTTCAATCACATCTTTCAGTTTAGCATTTGTTCTGCATCATCTTTTCTTTGTGTGCTCTCATTTCTGTATTATTGCAATGAAATTCAATGCTGTATTTAAACAAACTTAAAACAAAACTTATTTTGTGTAGCATGGAACCCAGAAGCTCTGTGGCTGCCACTAATTTTGAAGTGGCTATGGGAACTTTTTTACATTTATCAGCTTTATAACATTTTGGGTATTTACGATATGTACATTTTTAATAGTATCACCCTACTTTGTGAGTTTGCTTTTCCAGTAATAGAAACACTGTAGCTTTTACATTAATTACAATAGGAATTAATAGTTAATTTAACACATTTTCAACCTTAACAAAAATTTTGGAACCAATGATGTCCTCTTGTGTATACAGGAATTCATACAGTTTCAAATCTGACACACACAAATTAATAAGAGTGAAGAATCTTAAAAAAAGTCCTCTTTGGCTACAAAAAGTAACTGAAGAACCCAAACCAAAACCAAGCCCACTGCCGTTGAGTTGATTCCGACTCATAGCAACCCTATAGGACATGGTAGAACTGCTTTCCAAGGCTATAAATCTTTACAGGAACAGACTGCCACATCTTTCTCCCATGGAGTGGCTGCTGGGTTTGAACAGCCAACCTTTCAGTTACCAGCCAAGCGCTTTAACCACTGAGCCAGCAGGGCCCACAAAATAAATATCATTGATGGGAAAATAAAACCATTTTAAAGCTTTGCTTAAAAAAATTCTACCTAAATGCTATTTTAAAATGTTCTATGAGATGACATACTGGCCTTTTTATATAATGGGAAGAGCTGTGTCAAAGGCAAACGGCAGAATTCAGGAACATATTGCATCACTCATATTTCAGAAGGACATGTCCAGATCCATTTATCACTGACACAGAGCTCGCCAATAGTTACTGTCTAAGGGATGAAGCCAATTTTGAGAAGACGTCAGTAAAACTGCCTCAGTGTGGGTGCTGGACACTCAGCTAGGCTGGCTGACTTACTGAATAGATTTACCCTCACACTCAGTATCGCAGCTCTGGATTCAAATCCATGCCTTACACACATTACAAATAGCTACTGATTACAGTTCCTTGGAGCACCTTGGGAATAGTTTGGACCATAACTGTTAAATTTGTAAAAATCAAGGGTCTACACTAGGGGCCACAACACTCAAGCAAACCACATATATAGAGCCAGTAAAACCAAAACACCAAACCCCTGCCAGTGACTCAATTCCGACTCATGGCAATCCCATATGTTACAGAGTAGAACCGCTCCATAGGGTTTTCTTGGCTATAATCTTTATGAAAGCAGATTGCCAGGCTTATCTCCCACAGTGTCCCTGGGTGGATTTGAACTAATCTTCAAGTTAATAGTCAAGCACAAACCAGGTAGGACGGAAAATAGAGTGTCAGCGAAACCAGTGTGGACTCCTGCTTTTAAACCCCTAGGGACATGTCCCCAGGCAGAGGCTGGTCCTGTAAGTCGTCTTTTATCTTTCAGTGGTCCTCAGGTTCTTCCGCCTGTGCTCCTACTCTGAGGTGTCATTAACTAGATGCTTTTTTTTTCCTCTCTAGTGGCGCAGTGGTTAACGCTTAGCTGCTAACCAAAAGGTCGGCAGTTCAAGCCTACCAGCAGCTCTGCGGGAGAAAGATGTGGCAGTCTGCTCCCATAAAGATTTCAGCCTTGTAAAACCCTATCGGGGCAGTTCTACTTTGTCCTACAGGGTAGCTATGAGGCAGAATCAAATTGATGGCAATGGGTTTGGTTTTTAGTTTACACTAGCTATAGAATAGGATTTTTTCTCTCAAGCTATTCCCTTTATCACACATTCTCAGAATGAACAGATAGTCCTTTTGTTTAAGGATTGTACTGCTAATGAAAAGGAAGCAAATTAAAATTGGAAGTTAGCATGTATTTACAAAAATCTTAGAAAGTTCTCCCAATAGTGTTCCCTGTTCTGTAGTTTCTGACTTTGTCTCTTAGGCATCAATGTGAGAACTCTGCCTTGATTTGCTCTAGCAATCTCCCATATTCTCTTGGGACCCAATTCTGTCTTGTTACATGTCAGATACTGTTACTCAAACTATAGCCTGTGTTGTCTTTAGGTGGGCAACCTTGCTGGGTTTGCTGAAATTCTTAACTCACTCCAGAAACTGATTTCTGCAGCACCACATTTAGTACATTCCTACTCCCTTCTCCTTTTCTTTCTCTCCCTTAAGAATTTTCAAATATTTTTTGTTTAGAAGATTGAACAGAAAACACTCTCCACATTTTAAACATACTAAACGGATTCTTGAATTTGCTGCATGCTGTGAATTAATACAATTTTTTCTAAAGAATTTCCCCTAGTATGTCTTTGCTTTTTCCTAAGAATAATAAAATGTATTAACACTGCCCCAAATTTAAAGTCTATCCATCCATTCCGTATTTGATTCAAGGTTAAGAGATACTTCTCCATATACATAAAATAGGTACAGACTGTCACAGAAACAGTGTCTTATGAAAAAACTAAGTTTCTGCTTTCATTCGTTATAAACCAATACTTTCAGCGTCTGAGACAATAAGGCACCAACCATAGATTTGCTTACTGTTCTAATAAGAATATAAAAACTGGTAACAGAGGTGAAAAACGAAGGTTGCAAAAAATAACACTGGCTTGACAGTCTGGCACATTTATTTGTCCATTTTTAGTAACAACAGCAAGATCCATGGACCATGTCCATGGAAATAAAATTTCAGACAAAAGTGTATAAAATAAAAAACAAAATAGGTTTCCTCCTGCTTCCCTCACTTCTCAGAGGTAATTATATTTGATGGCCTCTGTTCTCAGTCCTTTAAGTATCTCTAAATAATTTCTGGACACCTTTATTACAATTTTTTAAACAGACAGAATTTTATTATAATGATGCTGAGTATTGAGGATTCATTTAGTCTTTGAATGAATAGAATCACTAATTCTCAGAACACTTCATTAAAGTAATTCTGACTCTAGAGCCACGGAGGCTAGATGAACCCCTGAAACTATTGCCCTGACATAATCTTTAAACCTTACACCAAAAATATCCCCTGAATTCTTCTTACAACAAACAACAGTTGAGCTTAACTAGTAAAAAGTGTTTTCCTTGAGCATTATACTCTTATGAGATCTATCTATCTGGGAAAAACTGACAACAGCAACTCAAAAGATCAGATAGGACCCTTAGGAGGCAGTGAGTTTATGTTAATGTTATGTTTATGTTAATAACTCAGAAAAGGAGGGTGAAAATGGTTGCAGAACTCGAAGAATGTAATCAGTGTCACTGAATTGTACATGTAGAAACTGTTAAATTGGTGTATGTTTTGCTGTGTATATTCTCAACAACAACAAAATAAATAAAATTAAATTTAAAAAAGTAACTCTGTATTAATGTACTATTAAAATTCAAGAAAAGGTTGTTAAAAACCAGTAAGAATCCATTCTACTGTTAATATCTAAGAAATGTCTTGCTTCAAATTCATCCTCTTAACCTAGTAAAGATATAAAGAATAACAACATGATCTATCTTCCTCCCGAATTATCTATAATCTGATTACTCAGTCTCCATGCTGTGCTTTTTCTTCAACACCAACACCCCACTGATAATAACTAACCAATCTACTATCTGTTATGAATTCCAGGTCATTTTCTGTCATTATTACTTTAAAATTGCTAATACAGGGCTGTCTTATGAGATTCAAGCCTTATCTTAATTTGAATAGTATGGGATCTAAAGTATCTTGATTTTATCAAATAAAATTCATGGTGTTGAAAATTTCTGGTATTAATATTGGTGACAGGAGTGAAATAATGATGTGGTAGAACGACTGTAAATTTTGGAGTCTGGCAGAACTGGGCTAGAATCCAGCTCGTGACTGGGTACTGGGTAACTTAACTATTACAAACTTCGATTTCCTTTTCTGAAAGACTGTAACAATCATCTTTTTGTGTTGTTACAAAGAGTAAAAGAGATAATATATGTAAAACACTTAACACAGTTTGAGCTCTAATAAGTGAAAATGGTAGGCTAACATTATTATTATTATATAAATAACAAGAGCACAGTGCTTTAGGAAGCACTTCCAAGTGTGTTAACTCAACTGGTCTCCACAATAGTCTTCCAACAACGGAGGCCACATCTCCATGGTCACCTAGCATATAAGTGGCAGAACTGGCACTTATACTTAGCTTTTCCTACTGTAACACTAAATAGCAACTTTTCTACTACATATCTTTTACTACTGTTGTTATCTGATGGCCAAAAAATAGTCCAAATAGTGACCCTATGACCCTTTGCAAGGCTCATGACTGCATGGTGAAACTAAGAGATACATTAAATATTTGATGTTTGCCTGTTCAGGAAATAAACATAAATGTAAATATTGTCAAATTATTTTTCTTTAGTGTAGAGCTGCCTATGTATAACATCTTAATAAGTTTAGCCGTGAAGGCAGGCTAACATAATCAATAATTAAATTTATTCAGTGGCATAAGATTAATAAACATTTTAATAAAAATTGTAAATTTACTGTAGAGTTTCTTACCTCAAATAACCATATAATCAACAATCTTTTGGGTATTTGTAAAAAGCCGACATTGATACTAAAATTATAATTTGAAATTAAGCTTTTCTCCATTAGAAAAAGGGCTATTCTTTAAAAATGTGAGTAAAATGTTCATCCTAAAGAAATTATTCACCAATGCCCTAATTTACTATTCTAATAAAGTAGAATTTCTCAAATTCCTTCAGTTGTGTTATAGGTATTTTATTTAAGATAAGATGTAGAGGCAGCATGCCAAAAGACTCAGAATAGAACCAAAAGGTACAACCACACAGAAATCACATACAAACCAGCATACTTTTTTTTCTCATTTTCATACAGATATTAACATCACTCAGATATTAATATCAAACTTGAAACAAAAGTACACATTCTAAACAGTACTATAATCTTATGGATTATTCATTAAATGTAGGTTTTCACTATAGTTTTGTTATTTTGTTTTTAACAGCTCTACATCTGACTTTAGGAGTTCATGTGTGGTACAAACAGTTAAAGAACTTGACTGCTAGCTGAAACACTAGAGGTTCGAGTCTACCCAGAGGCACCTCAGAAGAAAGGCCTGCAATCTATGTCCAAATAATCAGCCATTGAAAACCCTATGGAGCACGTTTCTACTCTGATACACATGGAGGATCACCATGAGTCTGACTCAACTTGATGGCAACTGGTTAACATCTGACTTCAAAGAGGAAAATTAGCCCTTTAATCACTGTGTGATTGTGGTAAAAATGAGTTTCTTTATGTGGTCTTTTGCCTTGGTTCTTTAGAAAAACAATTTGAGAGATTTTTCCCCTAAGCCTTGAAAAGTTATCTTTGCCCTAGTTTCCTACCCCAGAGGGTTTGTTACTTTTATCCAGGTTGATTGACATTTCCTGGGTAAGCTGTAACCAAATTAATTTGATACTTTTTGTCTGGTCTTGGGCTGTAGCCTGCTCTGTGACTGGTATGCACCTTGCAGGATTGGCCAACACACTACGCAAATGAGGTGAGTTGCAGCCCAGCCATGCCTACTATGCAAATTAATCCTCTGTGGCCTACCAAGAGGGGACTGGTCAGTTCATGGCCCTAGTGGGAGGGCCATGCCTTGAAATTTACGAACAGTTTGTGTACATACACAGCCAGCCCCACTGAGGTTTGTCAGACAGAAAGAAGCAAGAAGCAGCAGGAAGAAGCAGAAGGAAGGAAGCAGAAAGAAGCTGAGACAGAGAGAGACACATGAGGCAAGGAACCGCCTAAAAGAGCTGTAACACCGGTCAAGAGCTGTAACACCGGTCAAGAGCTGTAACACTGGGGACAGTGAGAGGCCTGGAAAGGGTCCAGCAGCAGAGCCAACAGCAACAGTCCCAGAAGGGGTCTGGTGGCAGAGCCAGTAGCCACAGGTGCCAGAATTGATAAAAAGGTTGGAGGGTCGAGACATGTCCAACCTCTATCTCAAAGGGATCAGTCTTGGGCTGATTTTGACTAGCATTACCCTCCCTGAAGTCAGATAAGTTTCGATGTTACTATTACTACCACGGAAACCCTGGTGGCGCAGTGGTTAAGTGCCATGGCTGCTAACCAAAAGGTTGACAGTTCGAATCCACCAGGCGCTCCTTGGAAACTCTATGGGGCAGTTCTACCCTGTCCTATAGGGTCACTATGAGTCAAATCAACTCAACTGCAACAGGTTTGGTTTTTCGTTTTTGTTACTACCACTCCTACCATCATTTTTCAGTGATATAATCACCTTAAGGTGGTTGGTTTTTACATCATTTCATCATCTGCAAGGCCAAGGATCAAAAACTAACTTTTCTCTCTTAGATTTAGAGTAAATGAATTCTGTAAGTTATTATTCACAATAGCCAGAGTTTTCTATAATACAATTTCAATAGATAACACTAAAATACATACAATGATAAATTGCATGATTTTGCCAAGACATTAACATAAATTACAAAACATACACTGTTATTAAAATAATCTTATCAAACCAAGGTATTAAAACATATTTCTAAGGAATGAAACAGAAAAATTTTTAAATGATACTTATATCTTATCCTCAGATTTGTATTTGCATTTAAAATTGCTTTTCTATTTGAGGAGAACTAAGGCAAGGCAAAAATTTGTTTGACACTACCTCCTGTCCTGATACCGTCACATATTGTGCAGAAGGATTTTTTAGTACTCTTCGTATTTCTTGCAAATGTATTTGGATCTTGTTAGTAACTTCTTGAATTTCATCCTTCCTCTTTTTTATTAAAGGGAAGTCAGAAAGGTCTTTGAATAACTCAGTTTTATCCCCAATTCTAAAAAATAAAAAAAATGCAAATACATATATTGAAACATATTAATTAGGCAAGTTACCAATTATTTTTTGTAGCATGATGAAAGAGCTGGAAGTCAGGAAAACGGGGTTCTGGTTGCAGCTCTTCCACTACTTATGGGTAAGTCTCGTAATTTCTCTGAGGAGAGACAAAACGACCCTAATGTCATTTTCATCTTGTAAGTTCAATGATTCCCATGGTGAAACCAAGAGATAATTAAGTATTTGTTGTTTGTTGGCTCAGAAAACAAACACAAATGTAAATACTGTGAAATGATTTTCCTTTTATATAAAGCTGTTTGTGGGATGAAACTGAAATGACTATCTCTCAAGGGATAACTCTGCTTCTCCAGATTCTAAATATAAGGCAACCATCCTCAGATAGTTAGCAAATGAGGACAAGATGTGATTTGACACCATGTTTGGGCTAATTAACTGCTACTACTTGGCTTTGCTTAGGCTTTATCTTATTACCAAGTGATAGCTGTGGAAGTAAAACATCTGACCTGGATGGTGAACTGCCTAAATTTTAGACAGCAAAGTGTTACTTCCAGCTGTAGTACAGAACACTGAGACCTTTAGTATCCAATCAAGATTCTAATTTCATATGTGTACATGCAACTTCTTCTATTACTTCTAGTGAAAATTAAGAATCTAAACAGCAAATGTGCAAGATCAAGTTCACCGTTGGAAAGGAAGAAGTGAGGGTCTGCTACTTACTTGGCAGCATGTTCATTAAGTATCTTTAGATAATGCTCCACTGGGCTGAGGAGTTCAGGAATTTCTAAAATAACTGTCTGGAGCAATTTTGACTGAATGTGAGAATTAGCAGCAGGTATTAATGCTTGAAATTCCAACTTCAAGTGATACAGAGTCTTGACAATCAAGAAGAACTCTTGGGTAGAGCACTGAAAATAGAAATATTTTTTACCTAAATAGCATAAAATATGTTAAAAAAAAAAAAAGCTTAAACAAGTACTCTTTTACAAGTAAGAATCAGAATAAGAAGAAATTTTATTTTATAATTTTATTAATTAAAGTATTGGTGATACGCATCTTCTAAATATTAAACCAACAGTTTAAACACTGTATAAAATTAGTGTTTTAAAGCTATAAAGAAAATAATTTGAGCCAGGTTTAGTAAAGCCAGCAATACTATATTCTTCATTACTTTTTTATTTTAAGATACACTGACTATATAGCAAGAAATGCAGTAAATAATGTCAAAATATGAAGGACAATTCTGGGGGAAATATCTGCAAGACATGTAAGATATAGAGGGTAAAATTCTCCCACATATAATGGGCTCTTAAAAATCAACAAGAAAAAGATGAATAATCCAAAATAATAATGGCTAAACAAACGAATATACAGCTCGTAGAAAGTGAATGTTCAAAAAGCACATGATTAATCTGACACATAATTAAAGACAAGCAAATTAGAACTACAAGATCACATTTTTTTACTTATCAGAATATCAGAGGCTTAAAAGCTTGATAATTACCATGTCACTCAGGGTGCAGAGAAAAAGACACTTATATACTATTAGTAGAGGTGTAATCTTTTTGAAGAGATTGGCATATCTTCATAATAAAAGAATGTATATCTCTTTGACTCAGCAATTCCTCTTTTAGGAATTTGTTTAAAAATATACTTGAACATGCAGGGTGGAAAGCGCGTATCTGGATATTCACAGTAGCATTGTTTGCAATAATATTTAAAAAGATAATAAGAAGCAAATATCCAGCAACTGGGGTCTTGTTAGGAAAGACTCATACAATGCAACACTATTAAACAGTTAAAAAAACATTACATATGTACAGATTGATATGGAACTCCATAATTTCAACATATATTAAGTATTACTGTTGTTGTCAGCCACCATCGAGTTGGCCTCCGACTCACGGTGACCCCATGTGTTACAAAGTAGAACTGCTCTATAGGGTCTTCTTGGCTATAATCTTTACAGAAGCAGTTTGCAAGGCCTTTCTTCTGCAGAGCCACTGGCTGGGTTAGAATTGCAAACCTTTATACATATACTTACATATTTATACACACACACACACACACACACACATATATATATACACATATGTAAATGTATTTATCTATTTATATAGTAAAATCATATTTGTGATTCTTTAGATGACATGCATTAAGACATTTTCAGGTATATAAATAAAAATATTAAAAAATTTCTGGAATTGTACATATGTAACTTACTCCAGTTACCTTTGGTTAGTGGATAAAGGATGGTAGAGGAAGACTTCTTACTCTTTATTTTATACCCTTGTATGCAATTGAAATTTTTAACATGAACATAAACTATTTTTACATTTGAGCTTCTGGTAAAGATAGTAGGCTGAAACATGAATCTAATTTCACTCCGTCTTGAAACTATAGTCAAGAGGTTGTTTAAGAAGGCATAAAGCCGTAAGAATAACCAGGAGAGAAGACAACCAGCAACAACATCTTGGAAGCTAAAAAGTAAATGGTCAAGTGGTAACTGACTTAGAAGGCTTAAGATATCTGAATCTTAAGCTGGCTGTGAGGAAAACTGATACCCAACTTGATTTACACCAAGAATCCTAAAAGACTCAGGGACTGGCAGCACAAATTACCTCTGGAAGTAGAAGTTGGCAAAGGGGAGGATTGGTTTAAAACAATTTAAGAAGCGATTAAATTTCTCAATCCCTATTTATTTCCAAGCCACTGGGCAATCACCACTCCCCTACTCTACATAAAACTAGTTTTATTCTCTGGAAAAGGTAAGACAGAGGGTATCTGGACTCATACCAAGCACAGTGAAGGATGAGGGTACCTCCAAAAGCAGGTAGATTAAGAAATGGTTGCAAAATGCATACTGAGAGCATTTGCCCCCTTCTAGTTCCTTGAACACTGACGGCCAATGAAGAGGCTGAGTTTCTTGGGTATCTCACAAGTCCTGGAGGAAAATTCTAAAGCTACTACACAGCAGGATTTCTCCTAATAAATAGCCTAGTCAGTTCACTCTACAGTCACCTTATATTTTACAAGCCACATTCAACTGTATGCATGTTCCTATGAGCACTTCAGTTTCTCACTGTTCAAAAACGAGCACACATCTGAGAAAAAATGCTAACAAGAAATGCAAAGACCAAACCAAACAATCAACAAACGTGGAAAGAAAAGAGACAATACAGATAGAAGAAAACGTCTAAAAACCAATTATAAATATCTTTAGTGAAACAGATGATACTGCAGTCATGAAACAAAAATGGGATGCTATTTAAAAAAGAAGGAACACTCAGAAAACAGCAACAAAAATTCTTGGAAACTAAAACCAAGATAGCAGAAATGAAAAATTCAATAGAAGAGGTAGAAGATAAAGATGATGAAATCTCTCAGAAAGTAAAGCAAAAGGCAAAGAGATAGAAAATAGTAGAATATACAGAAGAAAGGTAGATAACCAATCAAGGAGATTCAATCAATTTGAATAACAGAAGATATGGGAAGAAAGAAATTACTAAAGCAATAATTTGGGATTCAAGTTGCCAGATTAGAAGGACCCAATACAATGGATGAAAACAGAACCAAATCAAAGCAAATCACCATGAAATTTTAGAACACTGAGAACAAACGGAAAATCCTCCAATTTTCAGGGGAGGGAGTTGTGAAGAAAGAAAAGAAAAAAGAAAAGTTACACAAAGAATCAGGAATCAGAGTTGCTTCAGACTGCTCAACAGTAACAGTAGGAGCTAGAAAACAATGGGGTAAGCAAGACATTTGAAGTTTTACTATCGAAATAAATTATTTTTAAAATACCAGGGTCAGCCCACTTGGGATCCTCTATTATTATCATCTTAAAAATACATATTTGGCTTATTCCATGGCACTTTCAACACAGGCATATGGCCTCGGCTTATCACTTTCACAACATCCAACTAGAGCATTCCTTACTATTTTATGAAGTTCACATCACTGGCACAGACTGTACCCAGAACACCACTCATACAGTTGGAGTTTATTTAGAGTAAGCTAATATCAAAGAAGAGACACGTGTCTGATGGCGTGTTCCAACAGCCAGCTAACTAAACTATGAAAAATTTGGTAAAATCATTTCTACTCTTTACTTCTCAAATCAATTTTTAGGCACATTCTGGCGAAAACATTAAAACAGTCACAAGGAACAGCTTCTGAGTTAGTCATAAGTTCCTTTAGGAAAGATAAAAGTCATTCTTACTCTGCACATTGGAAACTTTTTAAATGAATTAGATTCTGACTTTTAGCAAAGTTTTGATACTTTTGTAAATAGAAGTGTACACATCAAAATAAACTTTAGAGAGAGGCAGCAGAGCATAAGAAAATCACAGCTGTATGGAATAAGACTACCATCCTGATGCCATGGACAGCCTGATTCAGCTCTTTTGAGGCACAATTGAAAATTTTTCAGCTTTGATCTTATTTTCTCTTGAGCAAAAACAAAAATCACTGACATCTGTCAGTGAATTCTTTCAAATACTGAAGGCATTGTGCTCGGAGATCCATTGCTTGATGAAGGATAATATACACTGATTGTCAGGCACTGGGCCAAGGATGCAAAATAACAAATGGTTTCACATCAACTCTGTAACCTCAAAAACGGCAACCATAAAACATTCGACTTCAGTGCAGCTTCTGCAACCACCAGCAAAATAACGACATAGTGTACCAAATAATGGTACAATAGACTGCACTGACCCCATAAGCAACTCACGCATTTTCTCTCTCCGGATTGGTATTCCCAATTCTATCTTGTACTTTGTTTTCAAATTTAGCTGACGCATATTGAACAGTTACATAAGTCCTCTTAGGCACTGCAAGTATTCTCAAAGGTAGTACTTACTGTTCTAGTAAAACCTTATGGGGGGAAAAAGGCTGAAAAACAGTAAACACTAATAAAAAACTGGAGCCCTAGTGGCATAGTGGTTAATAGTTTGGCTCCTAACCAAAAGGTCAGTAGTTCAAATCCATCAGCTGCTCCTCCGAAACTCTGTGGGGCAGTTCTACTCTGTCCTATAGGGTCACTATGGGTCGGAACTGACTCAACAGCACTTAACAACACAACAATAAAAAATTGGTCGCAACTAAAATTTGGGTATGTAAAAATTTTTCTAAAGTATAATTATTAAATCGGCAAGGATTTATATTTGGGCAAAATATATCACTTGCTTATGAAAAGTGGCAATGAGGGAAAAAAAGGCAATCAAAACAACTACATTCAAAATGTTAGTGTCCAAAAGACATATCCACTAATAACTCCATGGAAGTGGCAGTCAAGGACCCTGGGTTTAAGTACTAATAGTTCTGTCACTTACTAACAATTTCCTAACCCTCTCTCAGGGTCGCTACCCATTAGTAAGAAGGCGGTAAACACAGTATCTTGTCAATCTCATAAAGTTTTTACAGGGAACAAAGGGTATAATGTATGTGAGTGACTTCTGCAAAAGGTAAAACACTATAAAAAGTTTATTAACAATTATTATAAACATTATTAATTGATAATTTTTTTATTACTTTAGGCATATTTTGAAGATAAAATGAATTATTTCCCTAAGTGTGGAAAATCCCTCGTCACTGTTATGACTAAAGTCTAAAGCTTAATAATGAACATCAAAATGATGCTTTTTACTCACCTGCAACATCCAAACAGGTTTGTATTTAATACCACCACAAATATTATATCAGCAGATTTTTCCCTTGGTTAAGTCAAATAAGGAGTTGTTCTGAGATCAAAAGAAATAAAGCATCTTTTTTCTAAAGTAGCAAGTCTAAGTAACTTCCCTATTTTCCTGAGGGTCTGTACTTGGCAGATGAAACATGAGACTATCCTGCATTATAGTAGAAGGGCCTATAATATGTATTGCTGTAGCTTAGTATAAGTGATCAAACTTTACTTTTTACAATGGAAAATTGGAATAACCTTAATTTGTGCAATAAAAATCTCTGAGGATTCAGCAAAACTTAAAATAATAATAATAAAAATAATGCTCTGAGAAGTTTACTTTTAACTTCCTGTAGTCTCATGCTGAGGGATATTACCAGCTTTAACAGACACAATTTCTATCACACTTACTTTTTTGTGATAAATGCTGCAGAGTCCTCTCTCTATGTCTGGCAATTTGCGTAGATGACTTTCTATCTGACCAAATACACTAGATTCTGAATGGAGAACTTCAGACACAGCATCAAGCCGAGCATTTATTACCCTGTGAGAAGAGAGTAATAGCAATTATTAGATATGTTAGGAATTCAGAACACAGATGTTTCCCACTCAAATGCCTAAGACTGTGATGCAACCATTTAGAAAAAGACAAAGGAGATTTTCTCTCCATATCAACTGCTCCTCCCTTATAATCATTTGAATCAGAGAGCAGGTACCATACAAGAAAAGTCATTAGGAAAGTTTAGTAGAGACTGGCTGGCTGCTCACAGGTTTTCCTTTCCTCCTGGGCAAAGAGATAGACTTCATTTCCCAGTCTCCCCTACAGTTAGGGTGGCCATGCTCCTGAATTCTAGCCAATGATACGTGGCCAGGAGTGATATGGCCAGCCACTTCAAGGCCTAGTCCATAAAAACTTCCTGTATGATCTTTCACATTCTCAGTTTCCCCTTTGGTCATCTGATGCTCAGGACAATCTTGTGAGTGGCATCATGTCACATCTTGTCACCCACATCAGCCTGGGTCCCTGAGTAGAGAAGAATATCTTCCACTCCCACATCCACTACTGACTGGACTTTACATTAGCAAGAAAAACTTCTCTTGTATTTAAACTACTGAGGTTTGGGTTTATTTGCTACAACAGCTTACTTTACCTTGGCTTATATAACAGGTCTACAATGGGCAAATGAATTTTCTACTCTGACTGAACTGAAGGATCACCTCAGTCAAAAAACATTCAGTTAACCAACTGCTTCCATAGACGATTTGGTGGTGGTGGGGATTGAACTGATCAACTGCTTGACTGAAATGGGGCACACTGAGCAAAGACTGGCAGTAGCAATAGAAAGGGAAAAGGGGTGCATAGAATATGACATCAGAAGACACAGGAGACCAGGATTGCAGGATTTTATTAATGGCTACAATTGGGAAGATGTGGTGAGGCTTTGTCAATTTAAAATGGAAGACTGACTGGCTAAATGTGTCCTAAATGAGGCCCACATTAGATATAATGGTCATATGTTGTATTAAAGACTGAGACAAAGAAACATGTCTGGTGGAGAGGAGGCCTTGAGTAAACATTGTTTTTAATGAACGAATGAATAAACAAGCAAGTGGATGAAAGAAATGAAATGGTATTGGGGGGAAAGGGAGACATCAGCCACTGAATACACGTCTGTGTATCAAAGTTCTATTGATATCACACACATTGCTCTGAAGGGAAACCTTGCATCAGAGTCCTGCCTAAGTAACTGTTAAATATGAGTACTTTACAATTAATTGAGTGATTTTTACTTTATTATCCTTGTAACTACCCTGTGAGGTAATGTCTTTTCACAATACAGTCACTATGCTAACTTCAGGTCTCATTTTTTGTTCCATTTTTCTGCAGCTCAGATGCTCCTATGCAGAATAGACATTTGGTTTTAGCATGACACAGTAAAGCAAGCAAGAACTTTGTAGACACATAGACTGCCTCCTCCATTCTTAGTAGGGTGGCCTCTTGAATCCATCCACTTCTTTCCATCTCTACAGCCACCACCTTAGTTTAAGTCAAAATTATTTTCTCTAAAAGACTAACAAAACAGCCTCCAAACTTTCCTCCCCACATCCACTTCTCTTTTTCCAACCCATTCTCTACACTGCAGTCCATGTGGTCTTCCTAAAACCCAAGTCAGCTCATGTTGAATCTGCTCATCAAAGACTTGCTGTTAACCTTAGGTTTAAATCCAGAATCCTTAGTTGACCTACAAGGCAAGTGATGTCTGCTTACCTCACAAGTCTCACCTCAGGTGACCTGTCACTCTCTTCCTCCCACTCTAAATTCCAGTCAGACTGAACTTTTACCAGTATCTTGGCCACTCCATGTCCTCTGACATCAGGGCTTTTACACTTGCTGCCCACTCTGCCTGGATAACTCGCTTCCTTGTCCCTACCACCCACCAGCTCCACACTATTTGGCAAACTCCTACTCATCCTTCCTCTGAAAGGCCTCTTAGACCAGGGGTAATCCCTATGCATCCTTTTCCATATCACCCTCTATTCTCTTTCCACAGTGGAAATTCTAATTGTATCATTTCTTTGCTGTCTGTTTTTTTTCTGCTAGACTGTAAGCTCAGTGAGGAAGGCAATCATTCCTTCATCCCCACAGTTCTGGGATCAAAATATGTGCTCAATAAATAGTTGCTAAATTGAATTGAAGGCGACAATCTCTAGTGCAGGGTCTGGCATTTAGAGACACTCAATAAATACTTGTTCTTTTTTAATTTCTTAAATGAATTTACTTATGGGTTCTGATTAATAAGCAGATTCCAAAGACTATATATAAAGTATATCAAGATGAAGTGCAAAAAATTAAAAGAAATTAAATTTCCTTTGCATAGGATTGTTGTGATAAAATAAATCAATGTTTTACCCTAACGTTTACCTAAAATGCTATACAAACATAAAGTTTTAATAACTCATTCCTGCATAAGTAAAAGATGATACCATTTGAAATACACTAAGTTGATGCTACAGATGGTATGAGGACAGATAAAATAATGCCATCTGTGAACATATAAGACAGCCTAAAAAGACAGCTACTCTCAAAAATTATAAAGGTTTTCTGAGATATAGAAAGATAAGAGCAAAGGAGGTTAATAAAAATCTAAGCCATATTTATAAAGTCTACCAGAAAATTTTTTTGGAAATACACACAAAACTACAAATCTCTTAGACAGAGATTTTGAAAAAGTAGTGTTAAGTTGGTTGGGAATCCTGGTAAGTACAAAGGAAGTGGCTTTTATTCTAGCCTAGTGACAGCACAGTCAAAACCAGCATGTTCACCCATGAATCATTTTTATTTTAACTCATTCTTTGTTAGGGAAGCAATAGCTGAGAGGTTAAGAGTCTGGGCTCAGAAGATAGGTGGGCTCTGTTTAAATCCAGGCTATACAATTCACCAGCTATTTAGTCTTGCTCTAGTCCCTTCATCTATAATATGGGGATAATAATGGTCTCTAACTCATAGAGATGTTACAAGAACTCAGTGATATAATACATGTTAAATACTTAGTACCGTGCCTGGTACATAGTAAATACACAATGAATGCTTATTATTATCATTGTGATGATAGTTATTTGCTTACAATATTGCTTTGTTGATACTACAAAGCACACCATGTGGGAGGGAGAAATAACACCCAAAATATAAACTTGGAATATGTAGACAAACCTTAATGTACAGATATGCAAATAGGTACAAGAAAAGGATTACACAAGGAAAGCTAGTTCTAGAATCTCAAATGCTAAATCTGACCAACAGTGGTGATTTGAAGTATGTGGTGAAACTAGTTAGTAGGTTGCATTGAGAAAGAATGCCATAATCAATTACAGATGTTCAACACAGGCAGGGAGAGAGTAAAAGTGTGTGTGGCACTATTTACCACAAACTTCCCCTCATTGAGGCAGCTATAATTCCACGTTTATTTCCTATATGCATGTTAGAATATGTCTTAGTCATCTAGTGCTGCTGTAATAGAAATAGCACAAGTGGATGGTTTTAACGAAGAGAAATTTATTTCCTTACGGTAAAGTAGGCTAAAAGTCCAAATTCAGGGCATCAGCTCCAGGGGAAGGCTTTTTCTCTCTGTCAGCCTTCTTCTCTTCCGTGTTCCCCTGGACTAGGAGCTTCTCTGCGCAGGGAACCCGGTCCAAAGGCCCAGCTCTGCTCCTGGCACTGCTTTCTTGATGGTATGAGGTCCCCCTGTCTCACTGCTCACTTCTGTCTTTTATATCTCAAGAGATTGCCTCAGGACACA